TGCGCTATGCAGCGATCTAGGGTTTCACATAGTATTGTTTTCCCACCACTGCTTCAGACATGGCAGCGCTGAAAGCCAGGAGCAGCTAAACCAGTTAACCCGAAGCCTGGCAGAATGGCAGGTGCCATCATCCCCCCATCCCGGCTTGTTCGAAGCTCCATCGGAGCACATTGCACGTTGTTTACTTTGTCCTAGCGAGAGTTATTACAGAATATTCGGGGCCTCTTTTTGACTGAATGTCACTGTAGTTCTCTCCATTGTGTAGTGCCACACATTGGAAGGGGACAACTTAGGCCCTAAAAAGAGGGTTAACTGAAGGTTATTCTTCAGCAATACCTTCATCGGAAACTCCAGCCTTGTCGTCATTGTTTGCAGCTCTGTGCCACAAATGGGCTGGACATACCTTACGTTGTCTATCTAGAAGCGACTGCCGAAGTGCTCGGTAAAGTATTCCCTAGCCACTAGGGGGTACGCAGTAAAAGATCCCACAGTTGCATCTCCTACCGAAGCATGAATGTTGGGTATAAGGTTATCCGGGAGTGTTAGGAGTTATTTTGTCAATAATGTCGGAGGGACATCAGCCCATTCCTTTTTGACCTTCCCCCACTTGTTTGTGTTTCGTCATCACAGCAGCAAGCTCTCCAGCACTGCCGTCAATATCAGGTTAGGCCCACTTCTGATAAACCAGGACTGCCTAAGGTTAGGTAAGGTCAGCACCTCCCCCACCACAGTTTCTTCTTGAATCCTGGGAGAAGGACGTCCTGGAGCAGCGTCCTCTACTTTCCCTAGAGCAAAGGTGTAGCCTGGTTTATATTTACAACACTCCTGGCACAAACAGTGGCTTTACGGCCATCACTACAGCACCTCAACACATACATGAGTACAGGCAGAGGTGGGTAGGGACTAGTTCCATTCACTCAGGTACATGTACTCTTGTAAAATGTTTGTAAAATATTTGTGAGGAAACAAATCTATTTTTTAGTCGTTATGGATCCTAATATCTTTTTTCCTGTTTAATTTCATTGCTAGAAGCTTATCTAATAAGAACTTCCATACAAATGAACACAGAGGCAACATCCTTAATAACATATCACCAAAGAAATATAGCTACCTGCTTGGCACACATGCTTTTTGTACCAAAATCTAGTTTCTGCCAGGTATTAGAATTACTTTTTTTAGTCCCTCTCTGATGCTGGCTCACTTTACACCGATCAGACATAACATTATGACCACCTCCTTGTTTCTACGCTCATTGTCCATTTTATCAGCTCCACTTACTATATAGGTGCACTTTGTAGTTCTACAGTTACAGACTGTAGTCCATCTGTTTCTCTGCATACTTTGTTAGCCCCCTTTTACCCTGTTCTTCAGTGGTCAGGACCCCCATGGACCCTCACAGAGCAGGTACTATTTGGGTGGTGGATCATTCTCAGCACTGCAGTGACACTGATATGGTGGTGGTGGTGTGTTAGTGTGTGTTGTGCTGGTACGAGTGGATCAGACACAGCAGTGCTGCTAGTCCTTTTAGTTTCAAAACACATTTATTTTTGGCTGGTGGCTTGAGCTGAACTGGAGGTCCATGCTGAGTGCATTCAGAAACCTGATGTTGTAAAATCCTAATTTAATTTGAAGGATGGCTGTGACGTTTCTGCCACAGTGCCTTGTCTTTCTGAGCACCAACAACGGCAGCAGTGCTAGAACCAAAAACAAGACAAGCTTTCAAAGGCACACATTCATCAACGCTATCAGTTCTGATGAATGGGAAAGGCTGTTTTATTATAATAAGAGGGAAACTGCAATTAGGAAGTGACGAAGAATGCAAAGCGGCAGCTGCTCCTCTGATCTAATTATGCTGTGATCAGAGGACTATGGTGGACACCAACAACGCCCTCTTCTGGAAGCAGACTGGCTCACACATTTACACTGATCTACCTTTCATCTACACTCTGTCCATTTTTATCAGCTCCACTTAACCCATAGGTACACTTTGTAATACTTTGTTAGCCCCCTTTTACAGGACCCCCACAGAGGATGTATCATATGCAGTGACACTGATGTGGTGGTGGTGTGTTAGTGTGTGTTGTGCTGGTCTGAGTGGATCAGACACAGCAGTGCTGCTGGAGTTTTTAAACACTGTGTCCACTCACTGTCCACTCTATTAGACACTCCTACCTTGTCAGTCCACCTTGTAGATGTAAAGTCAGAGACGATAGCTCATCTGCTGCTGCACAGTTTGTGTTGGTCATCCTCTAGTCCCTCATCAGTGGTCACAGGACACTGTTGGCTGGATATTTTTGGTTGGTGGACTATTCTCAGTCCAGCAGTGACACTGAGGTGTTTAAAAACTCCAGCAGCACTGCTGTGTCTGATCCACCCAGACCAGCGCAACACACACAAACACACCACCACCACGTCAGTGTTACTGCAGTGCTGAGAATGATCCACCACACAAATAGTACCTGCTCTGTGAGGGTCCATGGGGGTCCTGATCATTGAAGAACAGGCTAACAAAGTATGCAGAGAAACAGATGGACTACAGTCTGTAACTGTAGAACTACAGTACAAAGTGCTCCTATATGTTCAGTGGAACTGTTAAAATGGACAAAGTGTAGATACAAGCAGGTGGGTTTCATGAAGTGGCTGGTCCATGTGTATGTATATGAATATTTATGTAATAATTAATTATTAATTAGCTACTCGTTATTAATGATTAACAACTGTAATAATGTATATAGGTGTAGAAATTGTTTGATTGCTAGTGAACGAGGTGCACTTAGTTACACACTACAAGGACCTGAAAATCTAAATGATACTTTATTAAACAAACAATGAATCCATGATTAAATTGTGTTCACCTGGCTGAATTTACACTGCCGTTCAAAAATTCAAATCTGCTTTAAGTTATAAATGGCAAGTAGTTTTAAAGGAAAGCATTTTTTCTACAATTCTGCAATTCTAAACAAAGTCTTTCAGAGTGGTTTAACGTGAAATGGTCCATTCCAGGTCCGTTCCGGGTAGCGCTCTCGCCTCACAGCAAGAATGGCCTGGGTTCGATTCCCGGCCGGGCGACCAGGGTCATTTCTGTGTGGAGTTTGCCTGTTCTCCCCGTGTCTGCGTGGGTTTCCTCCGGGTACTCCGGTTTCCTCCCACAGTTCAAAGACATGCAGTCAGGCTAATTGGACACACTAAATTGCCCCTAGGTGTGAATGTGTGTGTGATTGTGTATGTCTGTCTGTCTGCCCTGCGATGGACTGGCGACCTGTCCAGGGTGTATCCTGCCTTCCGCCCAATGACAGCTGGGATAGGCTCCAGCACCCCACCGCAACCCAGAAGGATAAGCGGTTTAGATGATGGATGGATGGATGGTCCGTTCCAGAGAGCTAGCGAGCCAGAATCGTTCACAGCTTCACTATCAGGTTTTATTATCTAGGCTAGGACTAAAAGTAGAAGTAGAAAAAGAGAACATCTCTCTCCAGTTCTCCACCGGTTACTGGTAAAGTAGATTTCAAGGCTCTTTTATTTGTTTTTAAACCTTTATAGGAGCCGGAATCACAATAGATCACTGACATTCTCCAGCACCACCCCACCCCCAGGACGGTAGGGTCTTCTGATGAGTTGCTTCTGTCCAATTTAGGCCTCATACTTTTCAGTAGTTCTTCCCCTAATATTAACATTTTTATCCCGGTTAAAGACCCATTTGTTCTCTGGTATTTTTCTGTTTATGGTATTTGTATTTTTATTAACACTTTCATTATTTTACCGTTACTGTCCCATTATTATCTTTTTCTTTACATTTATTGTTTAGTAACTTTCCTTAGTGGTATTATGCAGCACTTTATTCAACATGTGTTGTTTAATTTGTGCTTTATAAATAAAAATGACTTGACAGTGCTGGTGGGAGGAACCAGACATCAGAGATCAACATCTCTAAAAGCTCCTTTACAGAACATTACTACATGAAACGATTATCAATTGATCACCTCTGTCTGACACATTGAGTGTGTTTCCATGCACTCAATAATCCCATCATAATCAGATTCCTGCAGTTATCCGATTATTCAAATGGTCATGTACACACCATACTCCGATCTAGAAATCTGATTAAGAAATCCGATAAAGAGAGCTGGATTTTAGCTCAGTAATCAGATTTCTCAGTCCATGTGAACTCTCACTCTGATTTCTTTCGGATTTTTCAATCTACGCATCCAGGAAACCAAACACGAAATAAAGGATTTAAATATTCTTCATCTTCTAGATGATGTATGTTCATATTTTCAGGTAAAATGGCAAAGTTTATTGGCCGGTTGCAAAGCAGAAATCTGATTACTGTCTGACTCATGGAGTTCCCCCATTATCTGATTACCCAAGTGCATGTAACCATGTTGATCGGATTACTGAAAAATCAGATTTTCTGCAGTTATCGGCTTATTAAGTGCATGTAAACGCACTCATTGTTTCTTGTTAGTTTTAAGAAAACATGTTAGCCTAAAATCTATTTTCCAAAATGCACTGAAGGTGGAGAGAGACATGCAGAGCACTGTATAGCAAAACAAACACGTCTTTTTACTCATTTTTAACATGATCAATGTTACACTACAAAATACGTGTAGGTTCACTGGTGGTTCTGGATAGTAAATAAAATGTCTATATCTGTGTTGTAGTCATGGTGACCCCTGGTTCCTATCACCACCACTGTAAAGACATCTGAATTGCTTTGAATGACTTTGTTTACATCTCAATTACTGAATTATGCATATCTGTGGAATCTCTCTGTATGCATTGTAAACCAGAATCCAATTGTAAAAAAAAACCACTTTCTCTTTACTGTCATTTTTGGCCAACTTACCTGCCCCGGGGAAGCCGTGGTCACCTCTGTATGCTTCAAGTGTAATGGTAAACTCTTCATTGTTGCAATAGTTGCTTTTGCCCCCCACCCACCCCCACCCCCTCCTTCTCATGGAACACCTGAAAGCAGGTATGGAGGGAGGAGGAAGCTGTAATTGTGTGACCGAACCAGATGAATGCTTCACACAGCCCATCTCAGAGAAACGCTCGCGGTCCCAGCGCAGACTATTTATCTCTCTGTCTGTGCCGTCTTCGGTTCCTACATGCATTTGCTGGAAGAAGCCCTCCAGCAGTATCGACCATATAAAGGTGAGCTAACCTCTGTCTTCTCATTTAAATGACTCTGAGGTTTGCTAATAATCTGAAGCTCTAATTGTATAGGTACTTATTAGTTTAGACTCAAACCGTCAAGCGTCAGAAACAAATAATTAAAAGACAGAGATTACAGCTTTGGAAGTCATTTAATAGTAAAGTAGTACTTTGTTAAGCATGAATGAGATGCCTTTTATGACCTCGTCACAGTTTGGTGAAATCCGGTCTAAGAGGCTTTAAAGCTTTGCACTGCGATCTGGATTTAAACTTTTGGTTTACTTTGTCCAGTAATTGTAGGTTTTCCCTTCACCAAGTCTAAGTATAATCTTGATCTAAAAGAGGAGCCAATGACCTTTTTCCATTGGGCATCTATTGTAAAGCAAGATTCCTTAATTTCCAGAAATCTCTCTCTGCCATTTTCAAAAAACACATAGCATTGCAGTGTTTGACTTTCAGAATTTTTCCAAGTTTTTAGTGGCAAAAAATATTACTCTGAGTTCTCCAGATACCACAGATGATCTGAAACCTCACTATACGTCTGGCAATCGATGTTATACTGGACACCAATGGAAGGAGGTGGGCCGGGGGCAGTGCAAAGGTCATAGCTTGATCTTTCCTGGGTTTATAGATTAGGAAAGGATGAAATTGACAGTTTTTCTGATGTTCTGTGAACTGTAGGATAAGGAATATTCACTAAAAACAGGCTTCCTTGTACTGTATATGTATAGGACGTTTACATGTATATGTCGTTTACGCATATAGGACAAAACTGGTTTCACAAGGTGGACGTGTAGTCCGTTGAATGCCTTCGTGTGGTTTCAAAGTGGAAGGGCCGCTTTGCCGTCCCCTCTGCCAAAATGGAAACTGTCAGATGTAACGAATGTAAATATTTAACTGTAATGTTAACATTTGTCAGTAATTTTTGTCCTGACTTACTGGTTTTTAAAAACTGTGAAGTGTCCCAGTCGTACAAAATGAAAATGGAAAAAATATGGACCAAATTCAGGCTTCGAGATGACGGCTACACCAATACAACACAGTTTTGTCTATTTTGAACCTAGGTGTGTGTCAGAAACCAGACAACCAAGTCTGGAGATAACATAATTTAACATAATTTCTGCTGATTTAGGCATTCAGTTTGCATGATGCTAACAAGTAATGGGCACTGACAGCTACTTGTTAGCTAGATTAGCCTCGTAGCTCCACTACAAAGCAAAAGATGCAAACTTCAGATATCAAATGTCTTGCCTGACTGGCTACCAGTGGGTAAGAGGAAGATAGTGTGAATCCGATTCTCACTGTCAAAGTTAAGGTCCACTGACAACATGCAGGCATGTTTGCCAGGGCTGACATGGTGACTGCATCATCCTCACATATACTGGGTTTCTATACAAACACTTTGCAAATGACAAGCAAATTTCCAAAAAGTCAGTAAAAGAAAATGCAAATGGGTCAAATTTCCATCCACTACAGCTACGCTGAAATACCTGAAGATGACGCGACACGCCTGTGTCACGCAGCGCCAGACGAGCAGTGCACTCTGTTTACCTGCCCAGGCTCGCCGCTTTTTACGTAGCGGCAAAGGCGGTGAAACTGGATTGAATGATGTGTCATTGACACATGAACCGGCTCTTAGGTAAATTTTTGTGTAGCCTTTCTACGATTAAACTAAAAATGTCACTTTCACCATGCGCTGCTGTGGTGTGGAGTACACAAGGGAGGGATCTAACCCTCAGTAGTTTTGACAGCTCTCTGTCGGCTGTACGTGGGTGCAGCCTTAACAGCTCAGACACGCCACTGTGGCCCATTTAATGAAGTATGAAGTCACTTTTCCACCTTGCCGCCACCCACCGAAACCTGAGAACCCTCCCGGAGCGAAGAGTTCACTTAAGCACACTAGAGTTCACCCAATTCAACCTTCCAAAGTCCTGAGTCCAAAGTTCTCAGAACTCCCTTTTCAAGTTCTGCATCTCAGTTAGGTAAACAAAATAGAATTTGTCTATTTTACTCGGTGCCTTTACATCACATTATCCCATCAGACATTCTCTCCTCTTGGGCTTCCAAATATGGACAGCTGTTGGTTTGCTAGCTCTCCTGAAGATGAACTATTAGACAGCTGCACCATGTGACTGAGCTACTTATCAGAGTCAAAACAACAAATATTTTCCGCAGGGTGTTAAACATTTATGTACATAAAATGTAAACCGAGTGGTGCAACGGACTAAGCCGTCACATGCAACAAAAGATCCTGAGTTTGACCCCCAGCAATGCCCTAGCCTTCCCTAAGTACTCACTTACGGATGTCTAGGGCATTGCTTATGGATGCTTATGAATGCTTATGGATGCTTATGTACTCACTTACGGATGGATAGGGCATTGCTTATAGATGGTTATGTATGCTTATGTACACATTTACGGATGGATAGGGCATTGCTTATGGATGATTATGTATGCTTATGTGCTCACTTATGGATGGATAGGGCATTGCTCATGGATGGTTATGTAAGTGAGTAAGTAAGTAAGTAAAGTTTATTTATATAGCGCTTTTTACAGCAGGTGTTGTCACAAAGCAGCTTTACAGGAAATGAGCATTACAAAAAGAAATCCGGGTCCGAGCCCCCATGAGCGTCGCCAGTGGTGACAGTGGCAAGGAAAAACTCCCTAAGAGAAACAGGAAGAAACCTTGAGAGGAACCAAGACTCAGAAGGGGAACCCATCCTCCTCTGGTCGACACCGGATAGTAAACATTGTTAGTATAAAGTATTATAGTACAAAAACAGGGTAAAACGTGAAGGAAACAATTAATTTGAATAGTTTAGTTAATGCAGCAGCAGCATCAGTGGGGTCAGGTTGTGGGGGTGAGGTTTGCACGGCGAGCAGTGGCACCCGATCAAGGCAGAAGAGGCAGCAGCATCAGACGCACAGGATGGGCAGCTGTTCAACTCGGCGAAGAAAAGAAAGGAAAACACACAGAGTCAGTTCTGTAATGGGTGACTGATCACAGATTACAGTGTTAGCAGAGCAGCAGAGACTCTGGCAGGTAAAGAACTGACAGGGAAAACTAATTACCAAAGGTTTGACTATACAAGTACGTTTTTAGCCTAGACTTAAACACTGAGGCTGTGTCTGAGTCCCGAACATTAACAGGAAGATTATTCCAAAGCTGGGGGGCTTTGTATGAGAAGGCTCTCCCCCCTGACGTAACTTTATTAATTCTAGGTACTAATAGTAAGCCAGCACCTTGTGATCTAAGTAGTCGTGATGGGTCATAGTGGGAGAGAAGTTCACTCAGGTACAGCGGGGCGAGTCCGTTTAGAGCTTTACAAGTCAGTAAGAGAATTTTATAATCAATGTGAAATTTAACTGGTAACCAGTGTAATGTTGATAAAACTGGGCTGATATGGTCAAACTTTCTGGTTCTTGTAAGGACTCTGGCTGCAGCGTTCTGGACCAACTGAAGCTTGTTAAGGCTTTTGCTGGGACATCCAGCCAGCAGGGCATTACAGTAGTCTAGCCTTGAAGTAATAAATGCATGAACTAACTTTTCTGCATCCTGTAGAGAAAATGCATTTCTCAGTTTATCAATATTGATGGGATGCAGGAAGGCTGTTCTAGTAATATTAGTTATATGTGCGTCGAAGGACAGATCAGGGTCTATAATGACACCAAGGCTTTTTACAGATGAGCTTGATGCAACTGAGAAATTGTTAAGTTTAAGTGTAAAATCAGACAGTTTGTTTCGAGCTGCTTTTGGACCAAGAAGTAGAGCGTCTGTTTTATCCGAGTTTAGAAGGAGAAAGTTACTCGACATCCAGTCCTTTATGTCTTTTATACAGTCTTCAATCTTGCTAAGTTTAATTTTATCATCCGGGTCGCTTGCTAAATATAACTGAGTGTCATCGGCATAGCAGTGGACGTTTATGCCGTGTTTACTGATAATGGTGCCCAGTGGTAGCATATATAATGTGAATAATACAGGTCCTAAAACAGAGCCTTGTGGAACACCATACTTTACTTTTGCGAGGGCAGATGATTCACTGTTTATATTAACAAACTGATTGTGCTGTCTCTGTACTATGATGTGGCCTAAAACCAGATTGAAATTTTTCATGTATTTGATTACAATGCAAATAGGAGCATAATTGTTTTGCTACAACTTTTTCCAAGATCTTTGATATAAAGGGGAGATTCGAGATGGGTCTATAATTTGATAGTTCGCATGGAACGAGATTCGCTTTCTTAATCAGTGGCCTAATTACTGCTAGTTTGAGAGTTTTTGGGATGTACCCAAAGCTAAGAGAAGAGTTTATTATTGACAGAATAGGCCTGGTTATTTCTGGCAAAATTTCCTTGAGTGAACCTGTAGGAATCGGATCTAACATACAAGTAGATGATTTTGTGGAAGAGACTATTTTAACTAGTTCATTTTCTTGAATTAAGGTAAATGATCCCAGCCTTTCTGCAGGGATTATAATATTTTCAAGATTGAGGCTGGCATTATAAGGCAGCAGGTTTGAGGAGTTTAATTGTGCTTCTGAATTTTCTGCCTAATTTTTTCAATTTTATCACTAAAGAAGTTCATAAAATCGTTGCTGCTATAGGCTGGTGGCATCTGGGGTTCACTAACTGTTTTGTTCTCTGTTAGTTTAGAGATTGTGCTGAAAAGTAATCTAGGATTATTCTTATTGTTTTCTATGAGAGAGGAGAGAGAGGCTGAGCGTGCTGTAGCAAGTACTCCTCTATAGTTTATAAGGCTCTCCTTCCAGGTGGACTGGAACACTTCTAGCTTAGTCAGGCACCATTTTCGCTCTAGTTGTCTGGCGGTCTGTTTTAAAGCCCGAGTGTGGTCATTATACCAGGGGGCGAGTTTTTTCTGCCTTACTATTTTACTTTTTAATGGAGCCACACTATCTAGAGTAGATCGAAAACTATCCTCTAAGAGCTTGGTCATAGCATCTAGCTCAGTAGGATTAGATGGACAGCTGACAGAAGCTGAT